CCTCTCCTGAAGAACAAGCCCAGTGTTTTCCCCACATCTAGGTCGGAACTCAAACCTGGGGCTTTATACATGCTAGGCTAGTGCTTGTAACTGCAGAGTGGGTGTGGCAGGAAGTAAGGCAGGACTAGGGATGAAGAGCCAGGGGAGAAGGAGCAGAAAAAGGCAGCTGTAATCCCACTCCTGAGAACCTGAGGCAGGAGGATCTCAAATTCAAACCCAGCCTGAGCTATATTGAGTCCCCATTTTTTTAAACTTTATATTCATGGGTGTTTTGTCTGCATGTATGTCTGTGTACCATGTGTGTAGCCGGTACCTGTGGGAGTTAGAAGAGGGCATCAGATTCCTTAAAACTAGAGTTTCAGAAGCCAGGCGGTGGTGGCGCACGCCTTTAAACCCAGCACTCGGGAACCAGAAGCAGGTGGATCTCTGTGAGTCCGAGGCCAGCCTGGTCTACAAAGCTGCACAGTGAAACCCTGTCTTGAAAACCAAAAAACAAACAAACAAAAAGCCCTAGAGTTGGAGATAGTCATAAGCTGTCATATGTGTGCTAGGAATTGAACCCAGATCTTTTGGAAGAGCAGCCAGTGGTCTTAACCATTGAGCTATCTCTCCAGCCCCTTTTGACCCCATAAACAAACAAGCAAGCAAGCATACAAACAAGCATACACAAGAGGTGGGCTGTAGTTCAGAGGTAGAACACCTGCCTAGTGCTCTATCGGGGTCTAGTCCCCAGGGGGAAGGGCAGTAACTAGCCAACAGCAGTGATCTACATAGTATGATCTCCCTATAAACATGGCTAGACAGTGGACTTGCTGTGTTTCCTTTAACCCTCCCATGGCCCTATGTAGATTATGTTCTATCTCCATTCTCAAATGAGAAAATAGACACAGACAAGTTGTCAAAGCAACCCAGCATCATATGGCCAATTAGAAGCAAAGCTGGAACAAAAACACAGATAAACCTGGTACCTATGCAGGCTCATAGCCCACTAACCCCAGCTTCCCATCTATTGGAAACAAAAGGAAAGTGAGTTTGCTGAAAACATTGTGGCATTAGAACATTTCTCAAGGCTGGCCCTTCAGGGGGTGCTGAATTTGGGATTAGGTCTATGAGAGAAAATGCCTTTGCCTGCTGGCAATAATAGATGTTGCACTAGAATGGGGAGCCAGGAATGACTGGCAGGCAGGTCAGAGGCTAAAAACTGAATTTCCAGGATATGTTCTGACATGAAACCTGTCCTCTCCAGATGCAGTCTGTAGAAGTAAATGGGGTTTGGGCTGCTTTGGAATGGCTTTTCATCTCAGGGAGGCAATGCCAGCACATTACAAAATGTCAGTGCTGTCGGGCTTCCTGCATGTTGCAAAATCAGGTTGAATGAGCAACACAAGAATGTAGTTATTCTGTAATGATTCTTTCTTTCCAGCAGAAGTTGTTGAAATGAGTTAGTTTACTCAGCCTCTCATGAAGGAGAGACAAAAAGAAAGAAAAAGAAAGCCATGGGTCAGATGGAACCTTGTCAGTCCTGGATGGTGGGCAGTGGCTACTTAGGCATAAACAGGGATGTGCTAGGGGACCAGCAGATAGCCAGCCGGGGTCAAGCTAACTGTTAGTCAATTGTATGCAGCAATTAGATATGCACGCAGAAAAACAGACTCAGGAAACAAAGGTTATCTGGGCCCATCGTTTCAGAGTTTTGTGTCCATGGCCACTGATTCCTCTACTTCTGGGATGTGATAAGGGCAGAAACAAGGGCATAAAAGCAACTGTAAAGCTGCAGTTGCTGTTTATCTAACAAATGTTGGCAGATGTGGATTTCTTTCTACAGAAGAACAGCTTTCTTTTGTTGTTTGTTGGTTGAGACAAGGTCTCTGTATCCCAAACTGACTGCAAACTCACAATGGAGCTGAGTATTGCCTTAATTTGATCCCTCTGTCTCCGCCTCCCACATTTGGGCATTGAAGGTGTGTGCCTCCAGGCCCTCAGGTCTTCAGGATAAGCACAGCCAGAGGCTGAGCAAGAGTCAGGAAGCAATATCGTTCAGGTTGAGTAACAATTTCATTTTGTTCATTGTATTTCCTCTCCCTTTTTTTCAGGAGGCATAAAAGTCCATTATTTTGATCTGAGTAAGCCTTCTTGGTAAGGTTTCCTAGGAGAATGCCAGCAGGTCTTCCCTTTTGGGGGCCTGAATGCAGCCTGCTCCTGTCTGTCTGCTGTAACAAAACTCCTTAAACCACAGACACACGATCCTACAAACAGCAGACAGTTCACTTGTTACAGCACCAAAGGCTGAGAGCTCTACGACCACAGTGCTGCAGGTTTTTTAATTATTTGGTGACAGCCTAGTTTCTGGTTCACAGGTGGTGCGTTCTGCTGTGCCCCACATAGTGATAGACGTCAGTTATAGGGTCACCTCTGTCCTTATGACACCATTCAAAGGCTTTACCTCCTGAACCATCACGTTGGATGGGGAGTGAGGGATGGGGGTCAGGACTTCAGCACATGGATGGGGAAGGACACACAAACGTCCACACCACAGCACTGCATTCTCAAGAGTACTTAGTGATCAATGTACCGCTGTGATAAAATATCGGAGAAAAAACTTGAAGGAGGAAAATTTCATTTTGGTTCACAATTTCAGAGGCGTCAGTCCGTGGTCACGTGGTGCCTTTGTTTCCGGGTTATAGTGAGGCAGAGCGTGGTGACAGGAGCATGTGGCGGGCAGCAATGGGGGGAACAAGGACAATACCACCCCTCAAGACTTACCCCGTGGCTATTTCTAGAAGCATGTGGCCATAGAGAAGTCGGTGTTTTCATTTGCTCCCAGTGAAGCATTTCTTCCCAGCAGCACATTCAGCTAGGAACTCATCAGTAAATTAATCTGTCAACTGGATTAGGGTTTTTCAATCCAGTCACCTCTCTGTAGTCCCACCACGTAGGGAAAAAGTCTTCAACACATAGGTCTTTGCTGGGAACTTCTATCCAAGCCGTAATAAATGGTTGTGACACTATTGACACTTGCTTCGTGCTGGGCACTTTCAAATCTTCAGCTCACTTAGCCCTATCTTCCATAGGAGGTACTATTATTATTCCCATTTTATAGATGAAGACATTAAAACCCAGAGACATTAAATAACTTGCTTGCTGTTTAATCTTTGCCACAGTGGCTGTATGCGTGTACGTATGTTCATATATTATATCTAGAGAATATCTACGAGACTTGATGAGAAATGCCAAATGTCCTACATCTAGCGACCTGGGAGCTATGGGTCGTCCAACTCCTGCCCCAGAGGGAAGCAGTGAGAAGAATGAAGCCACCAGCCTGCTGGGAAGCTGAGTGGCAGGTGTAGGTACTGTTTCTACTCTCTGCCTCCGGGTCTCAGCTGACACCAGGTGACCACCCAGACCACGTTTGAGCTTCCTGCTTATTATATAACACAGGTCTCCTGCAGAGATCCTTCCCATAGCTGAATTTTCACATAACGAGGAATATCACTAAAAACAGAAACCATATTTGTGAAAGGGGAAAAAAATCCTCAGAGCATTTATATCCATACATTTCCTTCTCATCCATCTTCCATCCTTAAATTTATCCCAGGATTTGCATTGATTTGCATTCATATCCTTGTGAAATCTACATGATTCCCAAAGGCATTCTCACCATCAAGGAAGAAATCATGTACCATTAAGCCACTCCTCTACTCCCCGGAAAACGAAACTATCTGTTTTCTGTCCCCAAAGATCTCCTTCTTTCACATAGTGCGTGACCGTTTGTGTCGGGTTTCTTTGAACTGGCTGCAGGTAGCAGGAGCCTGTGTCCCACACTGAGCGTAGCTTGAGCATAGGAGACCTCAAAGCCCATCCCCACAGTGACACACTTCCTCCAACAAGGCCACACCTCCTAACAGTGCCACTCATTATGGAGGCCATTTTCTTTCAAACCACCACATTTAATGAGCTAGGGTTACCTGATTATGTGTGACTAAGGCTTACTTTTACTTATGTCTGAGTGTCCTGGTCTCATTCCCTAAGTCCTTAGAAACCTAACCCAAATTTAACCAGCATTTCTAGAATTCCTTGTCAGCTCCCACATTCTGTGGTCTGAATATTTGTGCCCTACCACTTTAATCTGTTGAAATCTGAATCCTAACCCCCAAGATGATGGTACTAAGAAAACCTTTTCTGTTACTATAACAGAATATCTGGGATTGGGCAACTTCTAAAGAGCAGTGGTTTACTTTCTATGGTTGTAGAGGCTGCAGCTTAGGAGGGCTGCGTGTTGTTTTAACTCATGGTGGAGAGACAAAAAACAAAAAACAAAAAACAAAAAACAGCCAACCGCTCAGCAAATGAGCACTTGCTGCTATTGTGGAGAACCTGAGTTCAGTTCCAAGTCCCCATGCCAGGTGGCTCACAATCACACCTAATTCAAGTTCTAGGGGATCTGATGGCCTCTTCTGGCCTCCCTGGGAATAAACATATGGACAGAGACAAAAACAGGCACATAAATAAAATTGAAATAAATTTAAAAGAAGAAGAAGAAGTAATAGCCACTCCGTGGCTCTGAAGAAAGCATACACACCCACTGCTTCTGCGTTGTTTAAGGTGGCTTGTGTCTGGCTTTTTTGTGTCAGCATTTCTGGTGACCCTTCCCAGTGTGACCCCCCCTCAATCTGGGTCCTGGAAGGGCTCATTAAGGGAGCGTTTGTGTGTTTCCAGCTAATTTCAGTGTTCAGCTAACCTGTAAAGTGGGCAGCCTCTGGAAGGAACCCTTTTTCATGAAATCGGGCCTCTCAGAAGCAGCAAGCAAGCGTTCAGTAGAAACACACTCTCCTGTAATTGATGTTTACATGGGACCTTGCTTGCCAGGCCACCGGGATGGTAACACTGGGTGTGCCAAGTGCCTTGAAGCTGGTGGCCAGATACACGTGCCCGAGAGGGCACTTCCAGTCAGCTCCTGCCTTCCCCCACCCCCATCCCTTTCTCCTCCCCCCTCTCTCTTTCCTGCTTGGTGGCTTCTCCGCTATAAATATTTATTTAAAAACCAACGAACAACAACAACAAAAAAATCCTCCGGTCTCCAGCAAGTTTCTCGGTAGGACACGCACGCACCTTTCCACAGGAAAATCTGATTAAATCGAGGCCGGACCCCTTCCCCTCAGGCCAGTTGCTCACAGGAGAGCAAGTCTGTTCAGCCCTTGTACTGCTGGACACCTCAGTAGCTGCGGGGCAAACTGGGCAGGTTCGAGCAGGGCTGTGCTGGTCTCCTAGCGACCTGGGAAGCCGTGGGCTAACACACCACTCACGACCCAGCAGTGGTCCTGCAGCCAGCGGCGTCATGGCGGAGCGTGGGCAGCCGACGATGTTGGCTCTGAGGCTGTTGCAGGAGCCCCGGAACTGCGGGCGGTAAGAGCAGTGCCCCTGGGACTCAAGCAGCTCACCGGGGAAGCCTGGATCCTCTGGGCTGGGTCCGGGAAGGTCCTTGCTGCTAGGGGTTGCCTTCTAACAGTGTCCCTTGTGCCCGTAAATATTGCAATAGAGTAAAAGGACCAGTGCTGTATCCGCCCCCACCCCCACCCCCAAAGGGCACAGCCCTTTGTGTTCGCTTGTTCCCACAACCCCCGGGAGAAGTAGTTTAAAATCCCCGGACCAGCTAGGAAAATGGTGGCACACAGTGGCCTCTAGGGAGGCTGTCCTAGTCTAGGCATCTGAACACCTGTTTTCAACACACTCTCTGGGAGTAGCCAATGCTTTTAGTAGATGCTCTGGGACCCCTGGTCCAGCTTAGGGCATCCGTGAGGCTTGGAGTCTTTAGCCCTCCAGTTGGAGGCTCTGGTCAAGCAGAATGCTTGGTGGAGGATTGCTTGAGGTCCCGGGAGGGCGGGTCACTACTTTGAAGGGTTGGTGGGGCAAGGAAAAGACGGTTTTATTTTCCCCTTGCTCAAGAGTGAGTTTTAGCTGGTGAAGCCGCACTTCAGTGTGGCGATGAGTAGGGCAGCAAGCCTCGAATCAGAAAAGCTAGTAGCTCAATATACAGTCTAGGTTAGCCTTAAGCTGGCAGTCCCCCTGCCTCAGCATGCAAAGCACAGGGATTACAGCTGTGTCACCACACCCAGCCCCCTGGGCTCTTGTTTTCCTACTGTGAAACGGGGACAGGTCAATGAACCAGCTTTGTAGGTGGGTGAGGACTCTTGGAACTAGCCACACATAGAACACAATGTGTTCTGTATGCGTGTAAGCAATTATGAATGCTTGGGGGTCTTAACACCCTCACCCCCCACTGAAAACCCATATGCTTTGAAGTAATTGTAGGCTCAAAGGAGACTGCTAATGTCCAAGATCCCATATAGACTTCCCCAATTGCTTCCAATGGCTCTGTATTACATGTCTACAGCCCGCCACCACACCAGAAAAGCGACCTTGGCACAGTATGGTGGTTAAAGAAGACCTCTGCATTTCATCAGCTCTCACTTCTGCAGAATTTTTGTCTGTGTACTTCCTGATACCATACTGCTTCATGATCACAGGGTTAGTTACCTTTCTCACTCCTGCGGAAGCAAGAGAAGGACTGGTTCTGGGAGGTCTATGGGTCTATGCCAGCGAGGGAAGCGGGCAGCCCAAGCAACCTCATCCACGGAGATGAGAGCTTTTGGCATGACTTGTACACATCGTGGGCGATCAGGAGCACAAATGGATAGGAAGCAGGGCCGGAGTCTAGAGTGGCTTCACATCCCCCAAACTTCCATAACCTCTAAAAACAGCGCCACCCGCTGGAGACCAAGTGTTTAAACACAAGAACCCATGGGAAACGTTTTACATCAAACAACCACACAGGGACAACTGTGGGACCCTCACTGTCAGTCTTTCTCTCCCAAGGAACCACTATCCTGTTCTCCAGTTCTGTAGTTATGAGTGTTTTTAACATGGCTCCGCAATTAAGAGTGTCCAACGCTCTTCCAGAGGACTGGAATTCAATTCCTAGCACCTATGTCAGGCAGCATACAAGTGTCTGTAACTCCAGGTCCAGGAAATAAGATAAATAAATACAACTTTTAAAAAATGCTAGCAAACTTGAGTAACATAAGTCATGCCCTTTTGACCTTGGCTCCTCTTCACCCTTGTGAGAACCATCCAAGTTGTACCTGTCAATTATTTGTTCATCTGGTTGCTGAGGAGCGTGTTCTGTGATATGTAACAGTTTGTTGCTTTATTCACTTGTATGTATCCAGGCTAGTTTCAGGTTTTGATTATTACATACAAAGTTGCCATGAACCTTTATGTACATGTTTTTGGAAGAATGTATATTTTCATTTCTTTAGGACAAACGTCAATATATCATATACTAATGTCTGTGGAAATAGTAAACATCCAGGGGAAAATGTTTCTAGTTTTATGTTATTGGTCAAGCAAGATTAAATGTGGAGGGTTGAAGCTGGGGACGTAGCTTACTTTGCAGAATGCTTACCTAGCACGAAGCTTTGGGTTCAACCCCCAGAACCCTATAAACCAGACGTGCTGATGTCTGAATCACAGCATTCATGAGTTGCTGATGCCTGAATTGCAGCATTCACAAGATGTAGCAAGAGACTCAGAAGTCGAAGGGAGTTCAAGGTTGTCCCCTACAAGGCTGGTTTGAGAGTAGCCTGGGCTATAGGAGACTGTATAAATACATGAATAAATAAAGATGGAAAGAAAATGCCGGGCTAAGCTTTTTAACTATGAGAAGCAGATGAGGCAGAAGAAAACCCTCCCTCCACATTCATACACCTCTCGGAACTGAAGGGGAGGTCAGAGAGACTCAGTTTCTCTCATGTCTTCTGCTAGTTCCAGAATTCAGGGTCTCAATCTAGTTACTATACAGCTCCCAATTTGAGATGTATGGTTGTACTTAAAAACATCTGTTATTCTCTCCGATTTTAGGAAGTGCTTGGGTGTCTGTTAGCTACAAATATAAGAAAATGAACTTTATGAAGACAGTTAATAATGAGGAGGGTTTTTTGCTAATAGGCAGAGCTGGCTGGTCATAAATCCTAATGTGGGATGTGGCTCAACAGGCCTGTGCCTCTTGCTGTTTGGAGAGTGATTTATGAAGGGCAGAGAGAAGCTTTCTGTAAACTCATTTCTTTTTGTTTTTTCATCTAGATTTTTGTAATGCATTGAAGTTAAGCTCCTCAAACACACACATACATCTGCATATGGCAAAGAAGTTCCCAGGGTTCGCTGGAAACCATTGAGAACCTCTTAAAAATGTGTGATGATGGTTACAGCAGAGATTGGTGCAGCACGAATATTGAGACAGACGTAGGGGCTCAAGCCGAGGATCAGAGAAGCAAAGCAGCCAATGACTAGTGGGCTCTTACCTCTACCAAGGCTAAGACCAAAGGGGCGCGATCCTGTCCTCAGAGTGACTGCAGACTGCAATGCTCTCCACCAAACCTCAGACTGCACTGAGACTGCACTGAGCTCCTGCTTTATATTCCCTCCAGTGCTGGGATTAAAGGCATGAGCTCTGTTTCTCTTTTAGATTGATTTCACTCTCGTGTAGCCCAGGATGACCTTGAACCCCCAGAGCTCCATCTGCCTCTGTTTCCTGAGTACTGGGATTGGGATTAAAGGTGTGTGCCACCACTGCCTGGCCTCTATGGCTAGCTTTGTGTTCTGATCTTCAGGCAATCTTTATAAGATCATAAACAAAATATCACTTGAGATTGGGTTTGGCATAAAAGGCCATTATGGCTGACAGGACCTGAAGGCTGAAAAATCTCCAGGGGAAGATAACAGCTTTCAAAATGACTGAGGCAGGCTGCCATTAGCGTCATCGGATGCCTGGGTTCTGAGGCCTGGCTTTGGCACTGGTGTGTCTGATTATTCTAGATCTGGTGTCCTTTTCCTTCCCGTGTGCCATCTGTTTCTGAGAGGGGTAGCAACCTGACTATCATTCACAAGCACAATGGAATTTTTTTAATGTGGCAGAAGTGATTAGAATAGCAAATGCTTAGATTTACACACAGATACACCTTTAAAATATAGTGACACGGATGATGCAGGTGAGACTTTGAAATAGGGTACTCGGTAAAAACGCATCTGTATTTAGAACACATGCACTCAGAGGGATAACTGATGCTTCCCGGATGCATGCAGGCAAAGGTACAGTTCCATCCAGAACAGTGGTTCAGCTTAAGCAGGTGATGGGAGCAGGCCATGGGGACACAGTAGAATAGATAGGAAGGGACTTGCAGAGCATGATTAGCTCAGCCTCCTGTGACTCCTTCTTCCTCTGCTTTCCCAGCCCTGTCCCCCCTTCCACCCAAGTCCTGGGATGCACACCACCTGGCCTGTTGTCTTCCAGGTACCTGGAGAACCTGCCTTCCAAGTGTCTCATGAGGCACAAGAGGCTGAAGTTCCCCGGATTCATGAACAGTCGGCGCTGGGTGTTCCTGAGAGAGGGACTGGATGACTTCCGGAAAGGCTGCCCCCCACACCAGCGCCCCAAGGGCGTCCTTCTGCCTCATATTCATCACAGACTTCCCCAAGCTATCCCCAAGAAGACGCAGAATGGACTGCCCAAGGGGGAAGCCCTGTCGTCCAAGCTTTCACAAGCAAGGAAGACATTCTTAGAGGACACAGAGGATCACATGGCCCTGCACCCCCTGGCTCTCCACCCCCATCTGCAAGAAGCTCTGCCTGCTGAGGTGATCTGTCTGGGCTTGAGGGAGGGGACTCCTGTGGGACCTGGAAATAATTCTCTCCAGAAGGCCCTGTTACAGAAGAGGAGGTTGTACCCCCAGGTGAAGGCTCTTAGCCAGCCTAGGAGAGCCTCCCTTTTCTACTGAGGAAACACAATTAGTGGGACACACAGCTGTTTCCTTTGCTTCCTGTGCAGCCATTGGGCTCACCAGAGTGTCCCACACAGGCCCTTCCGGCTCTCTCCGTCTCAAACTCTCCTTAACTTTGCCTTGAGACTTTGTAGATACAGGAAGCCATGCAGGAAATTGACCAGTCTCACTTATGTCTGTTTAGCTTGGGACAAAGAGATCTCTTTAAGAACTCACGAATAGATGGATAGAGATGGGAGAATCTGGAGGGCCAGGAGGGGATCCACCATGATGGTCCAGGCCAGGCCTGAACAGAAACTCTGTGTGTCACCAATGTTATGGGTTGCTCCTGATTCATCTTCATATTTGCCCTGTTTTTATATCTTAAAATGACACCAAGTTTGTCTTTCCAACGAGAAGAAAGAAGTGGCTGTCTTTTTGGTAGTTTTCCTAGAAATGGCCGCCGCATTTGACCTCCCCATCTGCTAGAGAAGCCTAGAAATGGGTTTTTACTTGACCACCATAGCCTTGAACAAATCCTGGGTTGTGTGAGATCTGAGGATGGAGGCAGATTGGATGAGCAGAAGTGACTCTCCACCTGCACCCCTGCAGCCTGTCCAGGGCTACACAGGCAAGTCTGGGTACACCATTCCTTTGCTCTGTGGAGCCAACCCTCTGCCTGGCCTCAGAGGCCCTGGGGACCCTCTTGTCTGCCACTCTCCCAGCTCCACAACCAGCTTCTCTTCTTATTCCACTCCAGCTGAAATTTCTGCTATGGTGATTGTCTCCAGGGCTTTTTCCTTCCTGGGTCTTGTAAGCCAGAGGGTCTGAGTCTCAGATAAAGAGGTGGCTATCCCACATCTCATGACCCATGGCTTTGGCACCTGAGTGTGGCTCTTATTTCCCTATCTGATTTCCCCAACTAGGTTTTACAGCTTTGTTTTGAGGCAGGGTCTCTTTATGGTGTTGAGTTGGCAGCCTGCATCTCTAGTGTAGGTTTGACTTCATAACTGCAGCAAAGAAATGGCATAGTCTAGTTTCCATGGTCCATTTGATTCATGAGCCTGTTGCATCCCTAGGCTAGTCACTGTGGCTCTGATGTGGTCTTCCCAAGAATGGAGATGAGGTTAGGCGTACTAGGACCAAGTGGGTAGGGGTGAAGGGAGAGATGGCTTTTGATGTGTATGTGTGTGTGTGTGTGTGTGATGTGTGTGTTGAGATATGTGTGCATATGTGTGCCTGTGTAGTAGGGGCAGAAGACAACCTCATCTGTTGTTCCTTGGGTGCTGGCCATCATTTTATTGAGACAAAGTTTCCTACCGGCCTGGGACTCACTGAGCTCGGGAGACAGGCAAGTCTCCATTACTGTAGCCTTAAGATTACAAGTGTGCACCACACCCAGATTTTTTTCTTAACATAAGTTCTCAGGTTCTCATGCCAGCAAGGCAAGAAGTTTACGGCTGTGCTATTTCCCTCAGCACATGAGGTGATTCAGGGGGAAATGCAGACACCATATTCATAGGAGGCATGAGAGATGCCCGAGAGGCCAGCAGTCAAGAGTCACAGAAGTCTGACAGAGACTCCAAGCTCTGGGGTTTTGGAGGCCTGGGGGAGGCTCACAGGCATATTTCTAGAGGAGGTGGAACCGTAGTACAGCCTGAGCACCCAATGGCCGGGTGACGGACAGCGCAGTACCCAGTGCAAGGCTTGGCATTTGAAAAGGAACACTGGAGAAGTGACTTAGTGCACTTTGTATAGAATTGGGGTCTCCCTTTCCCTTCCCCCTACCCTAGCCCAAGTCTCTTTGTAGCTCTTACTGCAGGTGCTGGACGTACTCGACCCTGAGAAGAAGTTGGTGGACACATGGGCTCATTGTCAGGATACCAAAAAATTATTGAAGGAACCCACAAAGCTTGTAGAAAAATGTTCTTCTCAAGCGTGCCTGTGAGTACTGCTGACATTTCCCCCCACATTCCATCATTGCCTTATCATATTTAGAATAATTTTGTTAATGTGGGTATTTTGTTTTGAGAGTCAAAAACCAAACAAAACAAAACAAAAAACCCTCTCAGTCTTGTTTAGACCAGGCTGACTCATTATGATGCTAAGGATGACTTAGTATGCCGATGTTCCTGCCTGTGTTTCTCAAGACTGGGATTTCAGGCCAGTGCCACCACATCCGGGCACCTAGAATACTTTCAAGAAGCAATGGCAATAAAGACAAGTTGTGGCCCCTGTGGATGTATAAACATGGGCACCCATCTAACTTTTAGTTGACAAGATGATGGCAAAAAGCCTGATGATTTGACTTCATTCAACATGGTAGGCCAGTGGACAGGTTGGATAATTATATGCACATGTGTGCACATACGTATAACACAGGAAATTGTCAAGGATGCCCTCGCTAGCCATTCTTTCTATTTTGAGACAGGGTTTCAGGTAGTCCAGGCTGGTTTGAAGTTCTTCATCTTCCTGCCTCTATTTCCAGAGTGCCGGGATTACAGACTTGTGCCGCCACACCTGGCTATGTGCTTGTCATCCAAAGAAATTATAAAATCTTCTGTTTGGAGGCCCTGCTCATCTTTGCATAAACCATGCCCACAATTGCTTCCTTTTCTGAAACTTTCCAAACATGAGACTTAGAAGAAATTCTTTTGTATTGCGCCCTTTCTCTCCCAATCCCATATTATTTAGTAATGTAAATGTTGATAGAAGTAAGTATAGACATAAACAGATTTGGGATGAGACACTTCCACTGTTGAAGCTGGTTGAGCTCACTGGTGAGTACCGAGGAGTAGGGTGATGTAGAGACCTCGGGTGACAAGTATACTATTGTTGTATTTCTTGCTCTCTGGTATATCTGGGGAGAGCAACTCACCTCACTCCTGCCCTTCTCCCACTGGAGAGGGAGAGGACCCGTGGGAACACAAATTTTTCTCCCTGTCTGTGCTGGAGGGAAAGTCATCCCTGGCGGATACTGGGTGGGAGAGTCTGCCGGTTTATGTCTTTCAGTGAACAAGTCCTCTTGGACCTAAAGCCACACCCTCCAGCACTTGTCAGAAAAGTGAGTAGCATTATGCATAGAAATACAGTGTACCGTATAGTACGACAATAAAGGCAGGATCTGTCTTTTATTTTGGGCAATTTACATGGTTAACGTTGCAAAATCTCTAAGGCAGTGGTTCTCAACCTTCCTAATGTTGTGACTCTTTAATAGGGTTCTTCATGCTGTGGTGACCCCCAACCATAAGATTGTTTCATTGCTACTTCATGACTATAACTTTCTGCTGGTACAAACTATACTATAAATATCTGCTATGTGAGTCTTTCGAGGGGTCGCGCCCCACAGGCTGAGAACCACTGCTCTAACATAAGACATTACAGACAAGTGGGAGCTGGTTACCCACTCACTTGGAAGAAGTCCAGCAGTGATGTAGTAATATGTTAGCACATCATAAAGGAAATGTGTAATTTCATAGAGGCGAGCTGGGCATTAGCATTTATATTCGTTTCCTTTGGCTGCTGTGAAATCTTAACACAAACTTGGTGGCTTGAAACAATAGAGATTATTTTTTTTTACAACATCTAACAACAGCTCTGAGGCCTACAGTCTGAAATGACAATCACAGCTGAAATCAAACGTTAGCAGGGCTGAGCTCCCTCCTGAGGCTGTAGGGAAATTTGTTCTTGCCTCCTCCAGTCTCTGGTGGCTGGTTGTGTCTGTGGCTTGTGACCACATCATGCCAAACTTCAAGACCAGCAGCTCGTGTCTGTCTGGTGTCCTCCAGTAGCCTGCTCTTGTGTGTCAGGTCCCCCCTCCCCCACGTCTTTCCTCACACATGTGATGGTTCGTAAATCCCAGCAGGATAATCCAGGATAATCTCCCAGTCTCAGGGGTATGGATGAATCACACCTACAAAGACTCTTTGAAAGCAGAGTACCACAAACTCCAAGGATTAGCACTCCATCTCTTTAGAGGCCACTATGACCCTCCCAGAGCAGGAGGTGACACCACCCCTCTTGAAAACAAGTTCCCTTGTCCAGATATTCTCTCCTTTCCTCTGAGAAGAACCCTAAGAGAAGGCATCCAAACTCGCTTCCCTCTGGATCCCACAGGAGTTAAACTTCCTCTTCAGAGCCCACTGAACCCACTGACTTTGCCCGTGGTTAGGGGTCACATCAGTGACTTTGCCCCTTGTCCCAACAAAATACCCGGCAGAAGCAGTGTGTGTGTGTGGGGGGATTTATTCTGGCTCACAGTTGGAGATGGTACAGTCCATCATGTCGGGGAAGACCCCAGGGGCCGGGCAGCCTCACAGGTAAGGCAACAAGAATGTACCCCAGAGGTCTGTCACCTGAGGCCCAACAGGAAGTAGAGAGCTTGCATCAGAAACAAGGTCATATGGCAGGCTTTCTTGGACCACCAGCCCCCAAATCACAACATGGAGACATATTATTTGTTATGAGTGCTTGGCCTTATCTTATGATTGTCCACCAGCTCTTATAACTTAACCTGTTTCTCTTCATCTGTGTTTGCCTCAGGACTTTTTACCTGCCTTTCCTTCTGTATGTCCTATTCATGTCTGGCCGGCTGGTTCCAGGCCTCTCTCTGTCTCTGTCTCTGTCTCTCTGTCTCTGTCTCTGTCTCTCTGTCTCTGTCTCTCTGTGTCTCTGTCTCCTTTGTTCTCTCCTTCTCTCTCCTCACCTCCTATTTATTCTCTCTGCCTGGCAGATATTAGACCAATCAGGTGCCTTAGGCAGGCAAAATAAAACAGCAACACATCCACAACAGGGTCAGGCTATAAATACTCAAGCCCTGCCCCCAACAGTTTCTCCTACCTTCTTTCTATTAGGTCCATAATCTGAGCTTATGGGGTAAATTTCCCATTCAAATCTTAACGATTGTTAGACAAGTGTTCACCAACCGCCACATTGTCACAGAGGGCACAGAGAAACCACCAGACCAGACCACTCCACGGGTAGAAAGGTTTAATTGGGCATCAAGATACCAAAGCTATCTCTAATATCTCTAGGTCAGGGTCAGGGGCCAGAGGAAGAGCAAAATGGTGGGAACCCAAGTGGATTTTATGTGACAGTGAGAGGGATGAGGGCTTTGAGCTGATACAAGCAGTTCAGATTTGCCCTGGCCCTCGGGGTCAGTCAACAGGGACCCTAGGGGAGGGAGTGAGAATGGAGGGGACAAGAGACGTGAGAGACAGAGACAAGACAGGACTCTGATCAAGTCTCGTTTATTCAAAGTACCAACAGGGCTTAAGTAAGGCAGGTAGCAGAAGGGCAGGGGAGCAGAAGTTCTCCTTGGCAGGGTGTGTTCCAAGGACACAAGTCTGCATCTGGGGGAGTCTGGACTGTGGGCCTTGAAAATGTGCTGTACGGGAAGATAAGCAGACACAGAGAAATAGAAACTCAACTAAGTGTTAGTCTCTAAGAATACAGTAGAAATATTAAGATGGCTTTTATTATGCTACCCTTAATTAGGGCCCTCCACACAGATTAACTGGGAACTAGATGTCCTTGAGGAAGGGAGCGGACCTTTGGGGCAGACAGAAGGAAAGGAGGTTCCTGAAAAACAGAAATGGAATTTAACCCTCTGTTTACCTAATAACCCTTCTGCTTACCTGGCCAAAGTCCTTCTGCTTAGGACATTGTCACCACCACTATCTTTGGGGACAGGGACTCTGCTTTGGATCTACCACACTAACACACAACTATTTCCATAGCAGCTGGCACAACTGATAACATCATCTTTCCCATAACATTGTTTTCTTTCTGAGACAATCTCACTATGTAGACCAGGCTAGCCCTATGCCAATCTTTCTGTCTCTGCCTCCCCAGTGCTGAGATTACTAATATGAACTACCATACCCAGCCTTGTGAGCTTTCTTCCTTTAGCTTCTGGAACATTCTTTTTCCTTAGTTTCCTCCTAGCTCATAGTCCTCTCTGATCTCCTTTGGCTGGTTCATCTATCTGTCTGTCTGTCTATCTATCTATCTATCTATCTATCTATCTATCTATCTATCTATCTATCTATCTTTTGGTTATTTTGAGGCAGAGTCTCCCTGTGTAGCTCTGGCTGTCTTTTTGTTGTTGTTTGTTTGTTTTAAAACTTGAAGTACTTCAGGCTCTGATGTTTTTTTCTGTACATTCACACCCAAGTGATCTTGGCCACTTACAGGTGAGTAATCCAGGATTTGTCATTGGATCTGTAACTAACATCACAGATAGAAACCAAACTCTTTGTTTCTCTTATGTATTCCTTCTCTGCCTTTCACAGCTCAGGAAATAGTAAGTAACCAGTTGCTTCTAGAACAACAGCCATCTGCCAACAAATGGCAATGACTTTGTGAAATATGAAGCACCCTATTTTACTAGTACTACTAGTATTATTAGTACTCACAGTATTACTAGCACTCATAGTCTATTCCAGGAAGCCACTGTTTCTTGTTTGTAACATCAAAACAGCTTATTAATTCGTGTGGTGGTCTGAATGAGAATGAGCCCCATAGGCTCATATATTTGGATGTTTAGTCACCAGAGCACAGTAAGGGTTAGGAGGTGTGGCCTTGTTGGAGGTGTGTCACTAGGAGTCGGCTTCGATGTTTTAAAAACTCACACCAAGCCCAGTCTCCAGTCTCTCTCTCTCTCTCTCTCTCTCTCTCTCTCTCTCTCTCTCTCTCTCTCTCTCTCTCTCTCTCTCTCTCTCTCTCTCTGTGTGTGTGTGTGTGTGTGTGTGTGTGTGTGTGTGAGAGAGAGAGAGAGAGAGAGAGAGAGAGAGAGAGAGAGAGGGATGACCATGCTTGCCAAGGTGGACATGTATACATCAGAGAATAGCCAGAACATCCCCAGGTGTGGGTCCTCTCATTCCACCCTGTTTCAGGCAGAGTCTCTTGGCGTTTGCTGCTGGCTTGTGATTTTGCGGGGAGCCTCCTGTCTCCACCTCCTCCCTCCATGTGAGAGAACCAGGATTACAGATATGTGCTACCCAGTCTAGCTCTGTGTGCTTTCCGAGGATTTGAACTTGGGACCTCACATGTGAGCAGCAAGTGCTTTACCCATGGAGTCATTTCCCCAGCCCATTCTCTCTTTAAAATAAGAGCAATTGCATTTTAATTTATCTTAGCTTGTTGGGGGAAGTCCTGTGCATTTGTCAATAAAGTACTATTGAGCCTATAGGAAACCTAGATAGGAGGGACTAGGAGTCCAGGAGAACTCTGGGAAGGAGAAAGACAAGAGAGTCGACATGTGACGCCATAGGGGTAAGAAGCCGGGAACTATTCTCCGGTAAGAAACATACTTAGATTAACAATTATGGGGTAATTACTTAAGGCAGAGCTAGCCAGTAAGGGAAAAGCAAGGCCAACAGCTTCATAATGAATATAGCCTCTTGTGTGTTTATTTGGGACTGATGCGGATCTAGAACCAGGCTGGCGCGGCAGAGCCCAGGCGACTGGCGGGGGATAAACCAAAGCGGCTAGCAAAAGAAAAAGCTTCTCTTAACATTAGCTTGTGTGGGTTACGTGTCTGGCTCAGTGTACATCGGAGGTCAAAGGACAACTCATAGGATCTGGTTCTCTCCTCCTCCCTCATGGGTCCTGGGAACTGAACTCGGGTTGTCAGGCTTGACCAAAGGTGCTTTAAGCTGCTGAGCTGTTTCACTGGCCCTGGAGACTGCTTGCCACACGGCGCAAACCTGACCTCTCACCCACTCCAGCGTCATTCCTGTGCTCAGCCTTCCCCGGAGCTTCCTAACGCAGCCTAAAGTCACACTGGTCTGCACGCGTGGCGCATCCACACCAAGGCCTCGCCAACTTTGATATGTAGCTGGTCCAGTGCTTCCCTCTTCCAGGTCTGTGTTCAATGTCAGTTAGCAGGGAGATTTTCTCTGTAGAAATGAGATGCTTTCCTGCAACACTCTCCAGCCTTTCCCCCATTTACTTTTTCTTTATGTTGTTCCTGAGCAACTGGCGTATGTTATGGAATAATCTTTTTGTACACTGTAAAGATGTGTCTTTGCCAGGGCATCTTATGGCTGGCCAATAACTAGGTAGGAAAAGGCTAAGTGGGAGAGCCAAGCTAAGAGAACCCTGGGAAGAAGAAGGGCAGAGTCTGAAAGTCACCGACAAATGCAGAAAGAAGCAAGATGGGCGTGCCATACAGAGAAAAGGTACCAAGACAAGTATAGATAAAAAAAATGGGTTTATTTAAGATGTAAGTGTTAGCTAGTAACAAGCCTGAGCTACTGGCCTGAGCATTTATAATTAATATCAAGTCTCTGTGTGGTTACTTGGGAGTGCCTGGAGGGGCACAAACTTTCATTTGCAGGCATATGTCTGTCTGTGCCTTTCAATCTTTCCATCTTGCTGAGTTGAAGACAGGGATTTTGGTTACATTTATGGTTAAGTACTGATTCCTAATACTTAATCTGCAGCATGCATTTGGAATTTAAGAAATAGTCCCTGACTGAATGGAAGACAAGTAAAACATGGCTATCTGAAAAAAAAAAGGTAGATTCAGGGGTCATCCTGTTGAAATGCCTCCCTCAGGAAGGGTTATATAAACTGGGACTGTAGCTCAGTTGTTAAGAGTGCTTGCCTAGCGCACACAAAGTCTTGGGATTAATCTCTGGGACCAGGTAAACCAAATTCATTGGTACATGGCTGTAATCAAATACTCATGAGGTACAGGAGGGAGGGGAGAAGCTTTAGGTCACCCTCTACCACAGAGGTTCTCAACCTTATGAGTTGAATGATGGGTGACTGCATTTGACATGCTCAGACTTACATTTAGCAATGAACATTTGGCCTGAAATTTAAATAAAGGATTCAGGATTGGGAGGGTAGATAGAAGACATAGAAGTGCCAGTGAGAGCCTTCCACAGCAGTGCAGAGAAGCAGACAGCTCAGATCTACCAGACATCAGTGACCTGCATGTTAGAGATGGGAGGGGGGAGAGCACTGTCCATGATTCTGTTTCCGTAAGATTGCAGCTCAACTTCAAGTGTGGTGACTTCGACATGGCACGCATATTAATTAATTAATAAGTGGTACCCATAACTTCAAAAGCCAATGTGACACTGGATTTGATGTTCTTAAGGTTTAATCTTTGAAGTTATAATTCACGTGGCCTTTTAGAGCCCTTGAGAGGTCTGACCTCATTTCCCACTGATACCTGTTGAGATTCACTCGGACTCATCCAGCCTCATCTTTAATTCTTTGATGACCCCATTGTCTTTAGACCCAAGAAGATGCCGGTGTCACATTCAGGCCAGTGGCTTTGCAAAGAAAAGCCAAACAAAGTGAATTCGCTCTATAAGGACAGCCTCCTCCATGACAACATACGCAGAGGAGTCCAAGACTTCTGCGACTGGGCCAAGGCTCTTGTAAGTCAGCAGTGACAACACAGTTCATCTTTGCAGCTGGCTAAGCTGAAGAAGCCGGGGGGGGGGGGGGGGGTCTTGAAGAAACAAAGCTCAATAAAACTCTTTGTATAACAGGAAAACAAAACAAAACAATGCCCACAGTACCAGCTGGACTTCAGCTGCTCTACCAACTTGCTGTGTTTCCAGTCCCAGGGACCAGAGCCCTCTGAGTCCCTAGATTCTCCTTCTGTCACACTGGCCTGTGGTGTGAGTCCCAGGGGTAACTTGCACTCTGTTCTATTACTCCACTGACTGCTCTGCTGCTTCTCATTGTCACCCAGCCTTGTTCTGAGCCTGCGGCGTCCCCCTTAAGGCTCTGACTGCTTCACGACTCCTCTCTACAAATGCTACTGCATCTCCAGCTCCAACTCACACTCTTATCTCCCAAACTGGGGCTCTTCTGACTCCAGTTTCTCTTCCCATGTTAGGCCACATCACAGGATAACAATCATCCGGTGGAACCACCCAGCGTGCCCATTTCTAGCCTACCAACTGCATCCAGGGGGCAGGCAAGGACACGGTTACTCCCAGCACAAAATATCATTGAAATGGCCTCTTCCATCTGGGCCATGGAGAGGACAGCCTCCCTCCCCCCCCCATCCCATTAAGAGGGCCTGGACACATGGCCCAGTGGCTGAGAGGACCTAGGTTCATTTCCCAACATCAATGAGGCAGCTGGCAACTGCCCACAGCTCCTGCTCCAGGGCACACGGCGCCATCTGCTGGCCTCTGAGGACACCTGCACATATGTGGCATAGATTCATAGCAACATACACATACTTTTTTCTTTTTTTAAAAGATACATCTGGAAAATACTCTAGGAATATCACTGCTACAAAGAGCTGGAGAATTTTACGTTTGGTCAGACAGTATTTCCTTGGGGACTCATGGCTTCCTGCAGGCCCTAAGTGGTCTCTTAGACTCTCCAGATACTTCTGACTCCAGTGAATGCCCCTGGAGCACCATCTTTGCTTCCAAACTCCCTGCTCCCCAGGTGCAGTCAACACCTCCTGAGATGAGGGAAGGGTGCTCCTGGCCACCCGTGCACCATTCATGACTTACAATGTCCTTGCAGGGATGTCCACCCATTGATGAAGAGTTCATCCTGCAGCAGTTTGACATTGATTATCAGACCAGACACGGCTGTGAGGCACTTCATGGGAGGAGGATTCAGGTTTGTTGAGAGCTGAAAAAGAGTTTGGGGCTGACTAAGCTGCAGGAGGCAGAGTTGTGCCATCAACCAGACCATGAGAGGCTACTCCAGAAAAACCCAGATGACAGCTGGAAAAATCTAAGGAAACTGGGTTATGGTAAAGCCTTAAGTGTTCTTGAATTCTGGTCCTCTGGGAGCTCTGGTCTTCTCAAGTAGACCTCTCAGGATGTTATAATACTTAATAAATATTTGATGAGAGAATTAATATTTAATATCAATGATAGTAGCATATATGAAGAAGATGTATCATTTGGAATTGTTACTGACTCCTCACTGCCAGAGAGTCTTCTTATGCATTTCCTATGTTAAAACTGTAGCATCTAATGGGAATATTAATGAATGATTATTACAAGAGTAATACAATAATGATTGTGAACACTGTAAATCTTATGCCCAAAGAATTCTTATTTGAATCGAATTGACTACATATCATTTTTGTTAAGAATTTTTAAAATTATTTTAGGTGTGTGTGTGCGTGCGTGTGTGTGTGTGTGTGTGTGTGTGTGTGTGTGTGTGTGTGTGTGTGTATAGGGATAGATGTACATGGGGGAGGATGCCTGTGGAAGCCAGAGGCATTGGATCCCCTGGAGCTGGCATCACAGGTGGTTACGAGTCCATGTCAGCCATCTGCAGGACAAACCCTTTGTCGATGGCCAACCTTCCCTGAAAGAGCACGGTGGGCGCCGGAAGGAACCCTAGTCCTCTGAAAGAGCAGTAAGTGATTTCAGCCTCTGACATCTCTCCAGCACACAGCATCTTTCTTGGTGACATTCTTGCCTATAATAAACAAATATTGCTGCAAACTCAGAAGTGTGGTTGGAGAAAGAAGAATTACAGTTATATTTTGAAGGGAAGTGGCATGGGAGCCCCGACAGTCGACGGTACGGTTGTTTTTTTAACTTTCTGTTCAATTGCCAATGCAAATAAACATGCTTGCCTCATTGTGCAGTGAACAACAGGCTTAAGTGCCTGTGTCAAATTGGGAGTGTCTTCCCTCAAAGTAAAAAACAGCACATTATCTCTAATTAGCTCTGAGTTACCTGTAATTTTTTCTTTACACACCTTACCATGTAGTTTTAGTTCCCTGAAGAGAAAAACAGAATCAAATGTGTGCAATTTTATTTTTGGTTGTGAGCCTAGCCTTTAACGGCTGAGCCATCTCTCCAGCCCGAAATGTGTGCAATTTTAAAGACTTCTCTTAGGGTGAGTAGGGAAAGTGCTTGTTGAAGAAACATAATGAACTGAGTTTAAATCTCAAGAACCCATCCAAAGCCAGACACAGGAGCACATGTGTGAGACTTCAGCTCTCCTGTGGTGGCATCGGGTTGGGGGGATTCCCAGAAACTTAGAGCCAGGTAGCCTGACATCTCAGCAGTGAACAACAAAGAGACCCTTACTCAAGCAATGGAAAGAGAGGGCTGGGCAGAGCTGTCCCTGTGCCCTGCACATATGTGCAGAGGTGTGTGCACTTCCACTCACACACATGCGTGTGCACACATGCACGCACACATGTACAACACTCACATATGCACACACATCCACACACACTGATTTGTGGGCACAGAGCTCTAGGAGCACAGTTTTTGCTTTTATTTCAGTATATTGAGTCTGTTGCTCCACTGTCTTAATGGAATTGTTTCTAATGAATCTTATGAGATGTTTGACCTCTCCTTCTGAATGTGCTGTTTTCTTTGGTTGCTTTTAGATTTTCCTTTTTGTCAATGTTTTAGAACACACACACACTCACCACACTCACTCATACACACACACACACACACACTCACACACACTCACAGTCACATACATACACACACACACACACACCTTTATTTTCAGACTTTTGTACTAGGGGTTCACTGAGCCTCTTCAACCTATGGACTTTCAATTTTCATAGACATTTTGCTTTTAAAAATTATTAGTATAATGGATGTGTTTTGGCATTTTCATATATGTGCACAATGTTCTTCTTTCATGAACTTTGGGGAAAATTTCGACCATTAGTTCTTCAGTTCCCTTGTTGGTCCTACAGTCTTCTCCCTACATTTGAATTGCACATGAGGAGGCTTGACGCTGTGTCCAGGCTCACTGCTTCTGTTCAATGGTTTTCTCCTTTGCTTATGTTTCTCTGTTGATAGGTCTTTAAGTTCTGAGATTTCTTTTTTCCTGAAACGTCTGTGGTTTTGTCTCATAATTACAATCCTCGTGTCTAGACATCTGATGTATGTCTGCTTTTCACGCCTCTACTTAACCTTTCAGAACTTATGAAATGCAGTTTCATAAACTGCTCGGATGTGTTTTCATCAGGACCCCTGTATCCGCTCTGTCAGTTCCCATTAACTCACTTATGACCTCGGGATACACTATGTTTTCCTGCATCACTTCATGTCTGCTGATTTTCTGAGTGGGTGCTAGGCATTGTGGTTTTCACTGTAATGGGTGTTTTGGGCACTTAGGCATTTTTTATAAAAATATTGTTGAATTTTGTTCTGGTATACAATCAAGTTATTTGGAAAAATCTGGTCTTATGGGGTCTTGAGGAACAACCAAATGATGTTCAGTCTTGGGCTAATTACTTCATAGTACTGAGAAAGACCTTAAGTGCATTCTTCCTGGGGGTGGTGGCAGGATGGTCCTGTGAGGAGGCTGCTGCCCCCAGCCCTGTGTGGCTACCAGGCACTTTTCCTCTAGTGCATGGAGCTGAGTCTTTCCCTGATCTCGGGTGGTTTCCTGTGCATGTGCAGAGAGGAGACAGCCCCCTACCCCACCCCACCCTGCCCCCTGCATCCTGGTGTCCTTTCGTGCTGTGAACTTCCGCTGCCTCGCTATCCCTGATTCCTCTGTTTCCTCAATTCGGAGGTCCCTTGGGCTGCTTTTGGGCTCCCCCTCCCTCCCCATGTGCCCTAGGGACTCTCTGCAGTCAGCAGGCAATTATGGCACTTATTTTGTTTGTCCCTTTTCTCCCAGGGATTAATGTCCTGGTTACTGAGGCCCAGTGTCTTACAAGATATTTTTTTTTCTGTGTTCCAAATGTGGAAAGTGGGAGGGAAAGTCAGTCTGTATTCTGGAAATGCAAGTCTCCATCTTTATTTTTCTACCCCACATAGAGTTCTCAGCATTGCTATACTCTGCCCTCTCATGTTCTTTAAAACTGTTTTTTTCCCTCCCACCTTAGCTCTGCTCATGGGTTTTTTTCTCTCTGACGTCCCCCTTTCCTTGTATGGCTCTCTAACTCTTTTTATATAAGGACATATGTCAATTTTTGCTATGAATGTTTTTTCTTCTAGGTTCATTGGTTGAGATTATATATATATATATATATATATATATATATATATATATATATAGTATTCTTACTTTCCATTCCGCATAGCACTGTGTGCCCTTGTTTTTCTCTTCTCTCTGTTTGCCAATTCACCCATCGGTTTATTTATTCACTCAGAAAACATTTCTGAGCATCTGTGTGCTCAAAGGTGTTGCTAGCAAATGACACAAACTGGAGGCCTGCTCCGCACACCCAGGACTTACGGTCTAGCAGAGTCGACAGGCAAGTGATTGACTGCAGCAGAGTGATGCCTTGTGTACATGTGAGGAGAAATGATCCATCCGCAAGTACAGGGTGTGGGGGCTTTCCATAAAGGCTTCCACGAAGAAACAATGCTGCTGCTGAGTCATGGAAGACCACCAGTAAGCTAACAACTTCTGCTCTACGGCAGGGCTCCATTTCTTTCTCCACTCTTTTACCCCATTCTCAGTTTTTATTCTTTCAATTCGGGGGTTCTTAGCTGAGGGAGATATTTACATCCTTCCCCTCCCTGCAAGGATATTTGGCAATGTTTGCAGATGGCATTTTGCGATGTCCTAACCTACTAGCATCTCACAGTTAGAGACCAGGAGTGTTGTTAAACATTCTAGTGTGAGGAGGCCAGCCACTTCACCTCAGCAAAGAATGATCAAATCCCAAATGTCAATAGTGGCAGAGTTAAGAAACAGTGCTGTAATTCAGCAAATATTTATAGAGCACCTGCTGTTTCCTACGTGCCCCAGATGCTCAAGAGGTACAGTGGAGAACACCCTCCAAAACTTGCATTCCAGGGGTGCAAAGAGATGCAGACAACGAAAATATAGCACATCAGACAGTGACCAGAGCTGCTATGAAGAGTGAGACAAGCAGAGAAGACACCATGTGTGGTGAGGTGTGCAGACTTTTAAACTGGGTGATCAGGGAAGATACTGCCTGAAGTAGCATAAACGAGGTATAGGAAGGAAGTACCTGAGGCCCCAGTGCAGCAGTGTGATGGGTGTGTTCTAAGAAGGGGAAGAGGTCAGGATGCCTGCAAAGAGTGTTAAGTCCAGTCCTGGGAGGGACTGCCCCCATCAGCTGCCGTATTTGATGTTTTAGACAGACTGTGTAGCTCCCAAATGACCCACACTTTCCATTACATAGTTTAAACACTGTAGGAGGAGCTGGAGAGAGGGCTCTGTGCTTCTAGAGGACCCGAGTGCTCCCAGCACGTATGTCAGACAGCTCACAACTGCCCTTAACTCCACTTCCAGAGAAACTGATGCCCTTCTGGCCTCCTCAGTACCAGTCCTCAGGCACACACACACACACACACACACACACACACACACACACTTATTTATATGGAACTAGAGAAATAGCTCAGGTTCAAATCCCAACACCCACATGGTAGCTCACAACTATCTGTAACTCTAGCCCCAGGGATCTAATGCCCTCTTAAGCCTCCACAGGCATAAGATACACATGTGATACACCTACATACACTCAGGCAAACACTCATACATGAAGAAAAAATATTGAAAACATGAATGTGAGGACAGAGAAAATTGAGCTTTCATGTTTCTGTGTTCTACCCAAGAATTGGTATAAGACAGCTTGCCGCATTATAGCCAATACATCTGGCTGTGAGCTTGCAACATTGTATCCACTATGACTGGCTATGAGCTTGCGACATTGTATCCACTGTGTCTGGCTATGAGCTTGCGACATTGTATCTACAGCACCTGGCTGTGAGTCAGCTTGAAGGTGTCTTTACCTCAGTGGAACACAAAGGTGGAAGCGGCATAAAAAAAGAGTGAGATCTGCTCTTCCTTCACCTTTCCTCTTTCCGTTAAAGGTGCAGAAGCTTAGGGCCAGGCAGCAGGTTGATCATACAATGACCCCAGGGCTAGCATAGTGGTGGGCTTAGTAACTTTAACTCAATACTTTGGTTCACTTGAGTGTTGTTCAAGATTGTCACCTGTGGGTGAAATGGGTGATTTTTCACTTGATTTCAACCTGCCTTGCATATGTTCTCTCCTATAATCTTCAGAACCACTCTCATGGGGTTAGAAACCTGTTATCTCTGGTTTGATAATAAATAATTTAAGTGGTGTGCCCGTGGACTTGAAGGTATTGAGAAATGGAAAGACTGGATTCAAGCCTAGGTCTGCCTGCATCAAAGGCCATGTTCCTAGTAGTTACTCTGTTTTCCTATTTATGAAATCATGCTTCTTTTGCAAAAATCAAAACACACTGAAACTTTGTAAAATTGACAAGGACCAGCTGTCTAAACAATGACACACCTTTCATAAGATGAGTCTTAGATTATTAAAATGATCAAACAAGCAATAAACAAGTAAGTACTGCCAACTAACAACCCTGGAATAATGTCACGGTCTCTAGAAACCTCATAAGCCCAAGCGGGTGAAGATGAGGTATGGAGCCTGGTATCTGAAGACCAAGCTGTGGAAGAAGCAAAGAGCAGATGAACCCTTGGTAGATCCCAAGATCTCACACAAAGCTCAAGATGCTAACTTTCAAAAGCATCTTCAGGAGCAGGTATGAACAAGTGCTGAGATTTGGTTGTCTTAGGCACAGACGATCACTGCATGGTTGGGCACATGAGGTTCCCCAAAGCCAGGCTGTGTCTGTCAAACTCAGCAGTAGATAAGGCCAGAGGAATTGTGGCGATCACATAACATCACAGTGCCTCTAAACTGGGATAGCAATCCTAGCATTTTGTGTTTGAGACAGGGTCTCACTTATGTAGCCCTGGCTGTCCTAGAACTCCATACATAGACCAGACTGGCCTCAAACTCACAGAGGTCGTCCTGCCTCTTGAGTGGTGAGATTAAAGGAGTATGCCTCCACCCCCAGCCCACTACTACCATTTCGAACGATTTGTTCTAAGAATAAATGGCAAGTGACCCGGTAGGACCACCTCAGTGCTCAGAACTGCCGTGATGTCCTGATGTTTCAGGCAACTGAGTGTGGGACTTGTTTCTATCAGCAAGAGATGACAGTCAAAGAACTCAAAACTGCACCTGGAAAGTTTCATTGCTAAAATTCAGTTGCCACAATATCTCTAAGAGAGGGGTCAAAAGTTAAACACTTCAAGGTGACAGAGCAGCAAAAGTCACACTACCAACCACGGCCCTGCTCTACCATAGATAAGCTGTGTGCTTGCCTGTCTCTTGTGTACATGAATCTACTGGAGCAAAGGTCATCACTGTCGCCCTGGAAACTGGGAGGTGTTGACACATGCTTCACAGGACCTGATGAGCACATTTGTGGACCTCTTCTCATTTCCAACAAACCAGAGTGTCTCTGGACAGTAGGGGGAAACACATGTGGAAGTAAAACCCTGCACAGATGTGGATGCTTCCTTAGTAATCTGCAGACTGGAAAGCTGAGACAGCTGGTGGTCATTTTTCTGTTTCCAGTGCTGGGTATAAAAAATCGTGTTTAGGAATGAGGAATGCCATAAATCTATAAGCACAATATGCTTAAATAAACTTCAAAATAATATAAATAACAGTAGAATTTCTGAGTGCATGGTTTAGGGGGTGCCCAAATGTATGGGAATTTAATTTAACAACATTTTATTCTGACAGCAAAAGCTATTTGTGGTGTCACTCAGAGTGCTCATAGTCAGCTGACAAAGTAGCATCCTTTCTATTTGTAAATATGGTTGATATAATTATTACAGTAAGAATTATTCATTAGGAAATCTAGACACTGGGAGGAGTAAAAAAATGATAGAATTATTCTACCATTTTTCTTTTCTTTTCTTTTTCTTACTTTTTTTTTGGAGGCAGTCTTGCACTTGTAGTCCAAGCTGGCCTAGAACTCATGATCCTCTAACCTTAACCTCCCAAAGGCCGGGATGATGGGCATGCTCCATCGTGCCCAGCCAACAGTGTTGTTTGTAAATCACATTTTCATAATGCCTGATGGAGGATTTAGCTTGTGTCCTGAAGGTTTGCTGTAATGGTGTGTTAGTAGGGACAGCCACTATGATAGTCTTACCAAGAACTCAAGAGTCTTCACCATCCTCGACTGTCTGGGTTTGGATAGTGAAATGGCCTGAAAGAGTTGAATCGCAGTATGTAAAGTTTTGCATCCAATTTTGGAGTTCAAATAAACGTAAAGAAAAATCAAAAGAATGCTGGAATATTCTGAAGGTTTGGGACAGAAACAAGTCTGTTTTGACTGTTGTGCCCTTTGTAATTAAGAGCTGTAAATTTTGGGGCCTCTGGTTTGATTGGCTCATTTGATTCTCTTACCAGATAAATGTAAAAAAAATTAAAAATTAAAATCTATAATTTGTGGATATAGTCTCTCAAGTTAGTTTCTAGATATCCCAAGTCAAATGTTTCAATTGCTAAAATCTATTGTGTATTCTTTATACAAGGGGAAGAAAAAAAATGGGCAAGAGGTTGAAATCAAAAGTCTTTGAAAGCCTTCATTCCTTAACTGATGAACTTCAGAGAAGGAAGCACCTGTAGTGAGGGCCCTCACAGCAGCTTCCCACCAATTTCTCCTTTCAACTGCTCTTTTAGGCGGTGCTGCTCCTAGGCCTGCACGGAACCACTGCCTTTAAGGACTTCCTTCTGAGCAGGGGTTACAGGATGTCCAGGGTGAGCCAAGAACCATTCTGCAAAACCCTGCTGAGGCCTGTGAAGAAGACACTTGTGGATGAGAAGTACCCTAACATAATCAGATAGTCCTCTCCCGGCATCCATAAGCCCCAGGAAGGATGCCATCAAATAAAAATTCAATGTGATTAGTCAGGTGGTGGTAGCACATGTATTTAATCCCAGCACTTGGGAGGCAGAGGCCGGTGGATTTCTGTGAGTTCAAGGCCAGCCTGGTCTACAAAGAGAGTTCCAGGACAGCAGAACTGTTACACAGAGAAACCCTGTCTTGAAAAACAAATAAGTTCATCATTACTTTCCAGATGGAGCCCTTTGGCTTCTGCCTCTGTAGAGTCTGTCTTCCTGTGGCTTTGAAATCCACTCTCCTTGGGTCCAAAGTGAGTGGAATTGAGGTGCAGAGCCTTGCACAGCCCGTCCTGAGACATTTGAGCTTTCTAGGAACAGTCTGACTTCAAGTTCTTATCGATAAGACAAATTAGCATGACACTTCCCCATCCTTCTCCCCCAGGCCGGCTCACACACACCTCCAACTTGAAGATCACAGTGGGAAGTCAGCTGAACAGACCATACAAAAGCTGTGCACCCAGACAGCTGGACACTCGGCATATGGGACCAGTCATAGCTGTGCACAGTCCGCCGTCATGTCCCTCGGGTTCCTTAGACAACAGAATGGCTAAGACACTCAGTGTTAGAATGAGACACTAGATTTCTTTCTCTTTTTTTTCTCCCCCTACCCCCATGGTTATTGTTTTGAGACAGAGTCTTATATAGCCCAAGTTAGCCTCAAAATCATTATGTACCGGAGGCTGGCCCTAAACTTCAGATCCCCAGATCAACCCTCCAAGTACTAGACTTACAGGCACATGCCACCACACCTGGCTTAGATTTTTGTTTCTCAAGAATGATAGAACTAACAGTGGATTATATTTAATGTCAAATAAATGAACACATTGAACATACTCACAGTCAGCCTGGCTTTAGGTAAGTTTAGAGCATGAGATAGAGATGCAGGATTAAAACACTCTATCATAGAGTTCATTGGAGTGTCTCCATTAGCTCCAAGCATCAGTGATAGGTCCACCAGCTATATTTACTCTATACTTTCTCTATGTATATACTCTACACATACTGGGTTTGACATACATGTGGTAAAAGCTTGATCTGCATAGAAAGTTTGAATAAGTTTATATATATTTATATGTAGAATATGTAAAATATGCTTATTAATATTTTATATTGTGCATTTTATATACTTTTGTATATTATGTAAGTATTATACACACACACATGTATATATGCCTTTATTTGTTTTTGGAGTTTGTTTGTTTTAGTGGCCTTGAATTTATGATCTGATTGTTTCCAACTCTTCAGTGCTGGAGTTATAGGCATATGCCACCATGTACACTATTATTGTGTAATATATATATATAATGCATACATATATAATGTTATTGAGTAAGATATTTTAAAACTGTGTGTGTGTGTGTGTGTGTGTATGAATGACCCACTGAGGCCAGAAGAAGACATCAGGTATCTTTCACTCTTTGTTTTATTCTCTCAAGACAATGTCTGTCACTTTCCTTGAAGCTTTTGTCTAGCATAATGAAATCTGTGAGAGTGAAGTTTTAAGCTGGGGTATTTGTTTGGCTTTCTAATGAAGAGATTCTCACTTTTCCCCCTGTAGTTCCTTGAGAAGATATATGCTGAGGAGAGAGGTAAATTTGAAATTACTAAGACTCCTAAAAAGCTCACCCCGACAGAGAGGAACCCTGAGAGAAGATGAGGCGCTTTTATTGACTGCATGCTTAGGCACTGCTCCATTATTTTCATTAAGTAGGATATGGTAAGTGCCCACTATGGAAACTTCAACCAGGCAACATCTATAAATATAAAACCAGGCATGGTTCTAAATGGCTTTCTAAATGCCTTAATCGATTTTCGCACTCTTTTATTTATGTATAGTTGGGTATGTCTGCATATGGGTATGTACACACGGGTCCTCAGAGGCCAGATGTGTTGAGTCCCCTGGAGCTGTAGTTACAGGCAATCATGAGCTACTATGTGGGTTCTGGGAATTGAACCTTGGCCCTCTGGAAGAGCAGAAGTACTTTTAAACCCTGATGGATCTCTCTGGCCCCCTTTAATCAATGTTTTGTTTGCTTGGTTCTTTTTTTTTTTTTTTGGCTTTTGCTCTTCTTCAGGCAGAGTTTTGCTATGTAGCCCAGGCTGACCTCTAATTAGTCACCCTCCCCCCCTCCCCACTCCCACCTTAGCCTCTCAGAGGCTAGTGTTATAGCTGTCCACCAGCATATCTGCCTTAGCATTTTGTGTTCTACCAACTATGGATATTCATGTATAGTCTTCTCACTTGTGTTATGAAAATTACATAAGTATATTCATTCTTTGAAAAATAAAATAAAATCTTAAATAAAGGCAAAGACCACTCTATTTTTATTGTTATGACTTTGAATGGGTACCTCTTTTATTTCTTTACAGTATTATTTTCTTACCTTTTGGATTAAGCTGACTGAGATGGGTTTTTTTTCTCTCTTCTTAGACAGTCTTGCTAATAAACTTGTACTTGCAGTGGAAGGTCATAGGTCAGAAAGTTTAAAGGAAAATCAAACTAATGTGTATTATTACTTCCTAAAGATAAAAAATTACTGGTGTACGTGTGTGTAAAAATGCATGTGTGTACTCACAGAGGTCAGAGGAGTATGTCTGCTCCTCTGGATCTGGAGTTACAGGCAGTTGTATGTTGTGTCACGTGGGTGATGGGAGCCACATTTAGGTGGTCTGTAAGAGCGGCATGAGTTCTGAAACCCTTAATCATCTCTCTAACCTCTACGCTTTATTACTTTTAAAAAATTATTCCGGGGTAGAGCTTGAGAGCTGAGACAGTGGTTAAGAGCACTGACTGCTCTTCCAGAGGACCCAAGTTCAATTCCCAGCACCCACATGGCATCCTGGAAACATCCAGTTCCAGGGGACTGACACTCTCTTCTGGTGTCCGAGGGTACCAGACAGGCTCGTGGTACACAGACATACAGGCAGACAAAATACTTGTTCAAATATAACATGAAAATTTAAATAGAAACAAAGAGCTTTAGAAACTAAAGTAATTATTATTTCTGGATACATGCTCACGGTTATGCATGTGTGTAGAGGGTGCATATAGAGGTCACAAGTGTTCCTCAGAAGCTGTCCATCTTGTTTTCTGAGGCAGGGTCTCTCACTTGGACCTGAGCTCACCCACTCAGCTAGGCTGGCTAACTAGTGAGCTCTGAGATCTGCCGATTTCCTCCTTCAATACTGGGATCACAAGCCGTGCCACCATGGACTTTTCCATAGGTGCTGGGAGCCAGATGTGGGTCCTCAGGCCTCCACTGTAAGCATTTGCTAACAACCCAGGCCCTCCCACTCGAATCTCAGCAGCCTTATCCGGAATTACATTTTACATTTGGTTGCTGGGAGCACACCTTTAGTTGAGAAAGAGACAAGAAAAAAGTTTTTGAAAAATGTTGTGTATGCATGACATGGCAGGAAAGGAAATGCGTATCAATGCAACAGGATATTCACTTCTACGGCTGGTTAGGAGGTGTCATTGCTATGCAGTTTTCCTCATCCATGTCCCATTCTACCTGCTTGCTCCTTTCAGACAACCATTTGTCTGATGGAATCCCTCGCGCCAGGAATGGCTCAACCTTTATCCACAAAGGCCTGGAGCTTCCATGATCCTCTCACTGGGGTTTTTATTACTAGACTTGGTGGAGCCCTAAGGGAAGTGATTTCCATGACTCTCTTGTCAATCATTGTTCTCATTAGTGAGGTCTCGCTCTGACACCAGAGTGTTCTTTCTAGTTCTTCACAGAGTATGAGGGAGCCACGCTAACCCGGTGGTGACATCACGGCTAAGTCAATGGAAATATTGCTGTTGACTGCTGGCCAGTGGCTTTCTCAAGCTTTTATATCCACAGCTTGGTCCTGGGACTGAGGAACAATTTTCCCAGTGGTCATTAAGGAGGTACTCCTCCTGATGTCACCACTTACACTCACTCAGACCTGTACATCCAGAGTACAGGACAAAGAGTGGGTGTGGATCAGTGTGGACAGCCATTGCTCAGTCTGTGTGGCGCTGGCTCCAGGCTTCTCTGAAATCTGCTGATGCTCTCAAGTCCCTTCACAAAATGACATAGTGCCCACATATGACCTACATGTGTCCCACCCTGCAATGGAGTCATCACTACATTATGTTCAGCACCTAGCACAATGCAAATGAAGACATCGTTGTTACACTGCGCTGTTTAGGGAGTAATGAGAAAGAAAAACAGTCCATTGGTGTCAAGTAAAGACAAAAACTGATTGAATATTTTTAATTCTGATTAGCCATGAGGGTGCAGAACACGCAGGTGTAAATGGACAATGTCACTGTACTTGGAAACATTGTCTCTCAATTGGAGTTTGAGTCTGAAATAAGCTTCTGTGTGCACCATGGGGTCAGTACTGTTTTCTCATTTACTATAGAAACTGTTTCTGCACTTTGCATAGGAGCTCCTGCCTATAATCCCAGAAATCCAGAGGCTGAAGGGAAAAAGATGCCAGTATTTTAGGCTAACAGACCTTGTTCTGATCCAAATACCAAATGACAATTGTGAAAATAATGATAGTGATGATGATGATAGTGATAATGGTGACGGTGATGATGGTGATGATGAAGATGGTGATGTTAGTGATGATGAAGATGGTGATGATGGTGATAATGATGGCAGCGATAATGGTGATGTGATAATGATAGATCAAGCAAGTTTCTACATGACAGCCAGTGGTGAATGGGGAACCCCGGTGGTGAATAAGCACCCACTAAGTCTATAAATGTTGGTGTGGGTGGATGTCTGTTAAGCAAGATCAGCAAATCTAAACCCAGAAAAACTCTCAGAACAAAAGATTACTCATTATTTCCTCTTGAAGCCTATTTTAATCCGCGGCCATTATGACTCTTACTGTTCTTCCCACTGTACAGGGTGGAAATCTGAGAGTCACATTTCCCAAGCCCTTTCACGGTTGCATTCATCCAACTGCCTCACATGTGTGGAAGCCCACAAGTGGCTTCAAGAGGAAAGTGGGCCTGCTGAAGCCAGCAGAGGAGGTATCTGGTCCTGCCTTTGGCGGAATTTAGGCATCCAGTCCTACTTTGGGCAGGATCTGGGCATCCAGTCCTACCTTGGGCAAAATTTGAGCATTCAGACTACCTTGGGCGGGATTTGGGAATTCAGTCCTACCTTGGGCAAGATTTGAGCATTCAGTCCTTCCTTGGGTGGGATTTTGGCATCCAGTCCTACCTTGGATGGGATTTGGGCATCCAGTCCTACCTTGGGTGGGATTTGAGCATCCGGTCCTACGTTGAGCAGGATTTGGGCATTTGGTCCTCAGATTCTGGCATGCAGGTGATGAGCTGCAGGCGGTGCTGGCTATGCCACTCTGGAGGGAACCCACCAGGGGCACCTTGTTCCTGGCTTTGCTGTAGTCAGACCCCAGTCCATTTCAGGGTCCCATGACTGGTTTCAATTAGGAGACAACTGTCTTAGGGTTTCTGTTGCTGTGATAAAACACCATGATCAAAGCAGCTTAGGGAGAAAGGGCTCATTTCAGTTTCCAACTCTCAGGTGACACTCCATCTCCTAGGGAAGTTGGCACAGGAACTCATTTCCCAGGTGATACTCCATCACTGAGGGAAGGTGGGGTAGGAACTCACATAGGGTAGGAACGTTGAGGCGGGAGCTGAAGCAGAGGGCATGGAGGAGAGTTGCACACTGGCTTGCTCCCATGGCTTGTTCAGCCTGCTTTCTTTTAGTGATCAGGACCTCAGCCAAGGGTGACACCTCCCACATCAATCATCAATCCAGAAAACGCATCACAGTCTTGCCCACAGGCCGATATGGAGGGCCTTTTCTCAACCGAGGCTCCCTCTTCCCAACCAGATGACTCTAGCTTGTGTCATGTTGGCACGAAACTCACCAGCACACAGCTGCACATTCAACAGAAGCAGCAGCCAAATTGGCTGTGATGAGGGGAAATCCAAGTTGCAGAACAAATACATAGTCTGTGTTCATGAGTCACTGGGCAATATTGGAATGTCTTTAGATAAAAGTGACTGAGATCTAGAAGATAAATCAACTCTTAAAATTGTATTATATATTTACTTTATATACAATACATAATATATATGATATATATGTAATATACATGTATATGAGTGTAGGTGTCTTCAAAGGCCAGGAGAGGGATCCCTTGGAGCTGGACCTATAGGTGGTTGTGAGCTACACAGTGTGGGTGTTGGGTACTGACTACAGGTCCTCTCCAAGAGCAGCGTATGCTCTTGCTGAGCTGTCGGGTCAGCTTTCCACTGGCTATTGAATACTTCCTGTAGACTGGATCCTTGTGATGGTGTCCTCACCATCTAGATGAATTTTAAAAGAGTCCCTATATGCCCCTCCCCTTCCTCTCAAACATCCCTGTCACCAGCCTTGCCTTGTTGGTCCTTCCACGTCTCTAGAATTAAACCACCATGGATTCCTGCACCGGAGACCCTTGCTCCTCTCGGCTGGATTGGCCGACAGGACCTGCTGTGCTTGTTTTCTGTTGCCGTTGCTGAAGAGCACAACTCGGGAAACTTTTTTAGAAATAGAAGTTGATTCAGCTCGTGAATTAAACACATTGCCTACTCCTCATACAAAGCACCCACAGTTTGTCAGTTTGGATGCATTAATAATAAGCTCTGAGCCACCAATAGCATGTGACTATTGCATTAAGGAAAGAAAGCACTTCCCCCTTGGTGTCATTTCATCATGATTGGGCCCAGATTTGAATCCTCTCTGTTGCATGAGTCTGAATCTGTCCCAGTGTCAGTCTGAGTCTGTGTGTTACTGTGTGTATCTGTCTGTAACAGAAGGCTTTGCTCTGTATTTATTGAAGAGCATGGAAAACAGCTCACAGGGAAGGAATGGGGGCCACTACAGACATCTTTAACAGGGTTTTTACAAGAGGTTAAGTCACTGATTCAAACTGACCCCAACTGGCCTAGATAATAGACAGTATTACAAACATCATTGTTTATCAAGCAATATCCAAATGTTGCCTTCAAGAGTTATGGTGGATATATATTCATATAGATGGCTTTCAACTTGTATTTCTGTTTTCGGCACACATTACTCTAGGTGAGGAACATGGAGGAATACATCAGATTGCATCTATTCATTAGCCTTGGTAGTTAAAGTTAATTATATAGGAAATCCAAGGCAAATGAGGTTAGCTGTTCCATTGTTCTCTTAAAGGCAGGTTAAACACACAGGTTGGGTATGCAGTAGGACACCAGCCTTAAGTCTTAAGTGGCCTCAAGGTGTATTATTAACTCTTGTTGGGAGGCCCAGCAAAA